TTAAATGCATATTAGGTTTAATATTGTTTTAACTATAAAAAATTCTTTTATAAAGAATACTAATCAGTAGATTATATGTTAGCAAATATTAAATATTTTATTTTTTATTTTTTTACAAGTAAGTGTTTATTCTTATGGAAATGTTTATGATATTTTTACATTATGTTAGTATCTTGTAAAAAAATGATTTTTTTTATAAATAATAATATTTGTTTCTTTAGATAATGACAACTGTTACCAACTCTGTATCAGAATTAAATAAAGTACAAGCTTTGCTAAATAAATTGCGAGAAGAAAATATAGCCTTAAAAAATGCAAACAAAGATTTAAAAAAAGACAATGCTCAACTAAATGAAGATAATATTAAATTAACTAATAAAAATAATAAGCTACATGAAGAAAATAAAAAATTAAATACTTCATCTAATTCTAATAATGAAATAATAAGTAAAGCAAATCAAAAAGCAAATGATTTTTTGGAGAATTTTGGTGTTAAGTTTGAGAAACAGAGACTTTGGGAAGTAAAATAGATAAAATCATGACAGTCAGTGAAGAGTTAAAAGAAGTAATAATGGCATAATTGTGTAATCATATGATTAATTTTTTATAAATATGTTAGATTTTTTTTTTTCAATTATTAAAAAAAATGTTAATGTATGTTTTTTTTATTTTTTTTTATTTTTATTATTAATTTTAATCTTTTGTTCTTTTTAATAATAAAGATATTATAAACTATAAATAATTCTTATGTTCTGTTCAATAAAAAAAAAAAAAAGAAATGCTTGATGTATGTATTAAATTAATTAATTTAATTTGTTTAATATCTTGTTAATAACTAATTTTTTTATAGCATATCGGTTTCATATGACAATTCTTAGAAGTATATTATATGTACTATGGGTTTGGAAATTTGGTTGTTATGTGTATGAATATTGTTATAAAATTTTTTTTTAACAATATTTGTATTATATTTGATAATTGGGTTATATACACAAGTTGTAGAGTTTTTAATTAAAAGAGATCATAAAGAAATTTACAAAACAATTTTGTGATTATTAATTTTTTTTGTTTATTATAATGTAGGTTTCTGGCTTATATTGATGTATTTTAGAAATATTTTTACAATTTTTTTTGATTTTGTTAATGTAAAAAAATAAATTATATTATATAACAAATCATATCTATTTTAAATATATAATTTATATAATGAATTTCGAATATAAAGAAACAAAAGTTATAAATAAATAATTCAATAATTCTAATAGAACAAAATGTTAACAGAAACTGAAAAAAATACCTACTATTGAAGTTGTTCTTAATGAAACAAATTTTTTAAAAAAATTAAATAAATATTCTCTAACTACAGAAATTTTTGTAAATTGTCTAAGTGGTTCAGATGTATGTTGGTCAACAAAATCAATAATAAGATCTTTTAACCAGTTAGATGTTTTATCAAATAATTTTGAAAACCAATGTGTCTTGTAGTAATTGAATTCAGTTGATAAAAAATTGTTTACTAAAATTAAAGCATCAATATCTTTTTGTTTATCTTGAAGCATTTCCTCAACTTCATGAAATATTTTACTCATATTTTTTTTAGTTGTTTTAGAGATTCTAAATAATCTGCTTTATTATTTTCTATAAGTTTGATAATATCATCAACTTTGTCAAATAACTCTTTTATTTCATCCATAATGTGAAATTATATAAATATGCAACTCTTTTTATATTTTTTTCTAGTAAAAAATGGGTAAAGTTCTTAATAATAAACTAAAACAGTTTGTAAAAAAATCAAAAACTAAACAGAAATTAATTGAAAAAATATTGGGTCATGATCCTGATTATGCAATAACAAATCTTAATAATATAGAAAGACTTGCTGATATTGTATACAATATTGATGGTTCAAAAATAAAAAAATGTAGAAAAAAAAATAAACAAGAAAAGAAAGAGATAAAAGAAAAAAAACCAACAAAATATCAACAATTCATAAAAAATAATTATGATAAAGTGGCATCAAAACATGAAAATAATATAGAGACAATAAAAGCAATTGCAAAGATGTGGAAAATAAGTCCTAAAAATCTGAAGAATGGATCAGGGTTTTCAGAAACTATATAAATATTTGAGTTCTCTCAATTTTTACAAAAAAATTAAATAGCAGATTACTCTGATTTGTGTGAACAATATAGTAAATCCAAATTAAAAATCGATATCATAATTTCTTATTTATATATATTTCTTTTAATAGCTATTATC